AGCTGATTTAGGCAAATTCAGGTGCTAAGCCTTGGCCTTTATCGGCTGCGAAGAGTCGTATTTGCGAAAGAATAGACACGAATATTTAAGTCGGAAATGGTCAAGTCATTTAATAGATTTGAAGACAGGACTCTACTACACGTGTGTATGAGTGTATGTATATGTATACAAGTGTATGTAAACATGAATTTGTTGCAGATTTATGAATTGGCAATGAGTGGCAGCAGGACAGTGAGGTATACACATTGTAGCTTTTCCACTGCCTACTGTTCTAGGGTTATATAAGGATGTGCTTTGTGTCATTTGTATGAAGTAACGGTATTAGTATTTTGAGTTGTTAACCTGCTAAACCCGTAAGGGATTGTTAAATGCGGGAGGGATAAGAAAAAGAGACATAGGTATATATATATTATATATATTGAAAAGGTAGATATTTGACACGACTGGGTATATTTTCATAAATGGGGGTGTGCTCAGGGGTTGCAAAACAATACTAACATACATCTCACAAATTCAATAGGCAAATTAAACACAAAAATATTTTTAGTATGTATGTATGTAAAAATATCTTATATATTACGGTATATATAGCTATTCATACTTATCCTGAATATATATAATTCATATTTACTTTTCAACTCAGTACAATGACATTTATTTCACTTGTTGTTGCTGTTCAATGCCAAACAAAAAGAAAACAAAATGCACAACAGGATTAAAATCTACCATAAAATATGAAGTATGTAATAGGGACAATGGAACATATGACCACTCGGTTGATCGCCAATCGAACGATGTTGATTTGGGTATTTAAAAAAGTTAAAAAAACTCGGAATTTAGTGCTAATGATTTTAGGTTGCAGTCGGTATCTTTCAACATTTTATAATTCTCTCATTGTTTCTTCACACAGGAAATGCTTCGTTTTTTTCTATTGTACAGTAAAATTTTAAGCTGCTTATTGCTGATAAGCGTATTTGAGAAGCGTTGTTGAGTGTGAAAAGGACATTATTAACATACAACTGTTGGCATGTGCTGCCTTATTTTGTTTACATAAATATTAACAACTCATTCGCTAGACGATTCATATATCTGTTTTGATGCAGTAGTGTCAAATGTCAAGCAGTTTAAAGGTTTTTTTTTTTGTTTTTGGTAAATGGAACCACGGCTGAGGAATCTTTAAAGATGTGTTTAGGTGAGTCTACTTTATCATGAACACAATTATTTGAGTAGTAAAAAGCATTCAGTGAAGTCCGTAAAGACATCGAAAACTTGTCTCATGCGAGTTGTCCATTCACCTCTGTTAATGACGATAATATTAAAAAGTTAAAGAAACAGTGCTTGAAAATCATCGTGTTAGCATCTGATTGATATCAGAGGATCTCAACAACTCCCATGCACCGACTCATTCATTTTGGTTGGTGAATCGATGGTTAAGAATCCTGTCAGTACTAAACTCGTACCAAAAGATCTGAATCTTTTGCGAAATCCACGTCGAGTAGAGGTCGCAAAAGAGGTGCTACACAGCGTTGCTGAGAACCCTATATTCAACAAACGCATCATTACTGGCGACGAAATGTGGTTTTATGAACCTGACGTTGAAACTTTCCAACAATCCAGTGAATAGCGCTAGAAAAATGTGACGAAATCGAAAAACCCAAAATTCTATGCGCAGTGCCTTCATCCGAGGCTTATGCCTTGGCATACTACTTGTATTGGCTCAGGTGCCTGCTTTGAGGGCGATAATAAAGTTTTGTATTAAAATACGTGGAAATCAATTTTTTTTATTTCTCAGTCCGGGTCAAATTGGATGAGTTGGTATATATTAAGGAAGCTCCATATATGCTTATGTTCCTGGTTTCCGATCTACATTCAACCCCTCAGTAAATGAATAATGTCTGCGCCTATTAACCCGAGGACAGCTTGACAGCGATTTGAGGTGTTGTGACAACAAGCCCTCAATAAATTGCAAAGGAATTTACGCTACAATTATTGCTAGTATTACATAAGAACGCATATATAAATATGGAAATATGGTAGATACATAGATATATTCACAATGCAGCTTGCACTATTCAGTAATATTCTCTTCATGTTTAGCTTTAACAAACGGTGTTTCTAAATTCAAATATCTTTCATAAATAACGGAAGAAATTTGTGAGTCCCCGCTTACATTAAACTGGCTTTGTGTAAATCACCGCACAAATAGAGATTTGAATAAATTCATTGCATTTCTATTGTCTATAAATAAGATTTCTGGTTTTCTTACAATGATATCTAGTCGCTTAAGTGTGTCTGCTGTATTTGCTGTATAATTATTACTCAATCATAGCGAGTTGCGCATCGTGTAAATCTCATTTACGAGCATTACAAAGCTGGCGAAATCACTTCAGCTAAATTAAATAGTACGAGTCTCACAAAGCATTACCGATAACTTAAGGGGGCACGTGAATTTCGCAATGTCCATTCCTGAGTGGGGCATAAATCAAACAAGTGTGTAAATACTGATTGCTTATACGATTTAATTCATTTTAATTTGCTGTATAATTTATTAAACATTATGTATGTACATATGAATGACTGTATGCATATATAGAGAAGAGCTCTTCTAGATTTAATTATCACTTATAATATGGCGCTTTCGAAGTGTAAAAAATTAAGATATTTAATTGGATTTAAAGTAATACAAGTAGCTCACGTGCCTAGGCAGTTGCATTTATTAATTATTATTTACAGTTAATACATGAATATATCGTGAATATGAATACTACATATTTTATAACATCTGATCAAATTTGACACGGACAAAAAAAATTACTTCACAAACGCGCCTCAAAACGGTATACTCTATTGACCGTTTGGCCCTGTGCAACGAGTTCATGATGAACTATACCACGATAATTAAAGAAAACCGTTAGTATCTCGTTGATTTTTGACCGAGTTTGACGTGTTTTTTCGGTTTCGGCTCGATGTTGGAGCGCTATTCGGTAGATTGTTGAACAGTTTCCACGTTAGATTCACAAACCCACGTCTTGTTATCAGCAATGATGTGTATGATGAACGTGGCGTTCTCAGTTACGTTGTCAGCATCACTTTTTCGACCTCTACTCGACGTCGCTTCATACCAAAAACATTAACCGAATTGTGTTGAGTCGATCCTTAAGATATGTTTAGATTCTCTTCTATCTCTCTGATGATTTTCAAGCACTGTTTCTATACATGTTTCGACGTTATCGCCACTAAATGCTTTATGCCATTCTAATTTTTTTTGGGATAAAGTAGACACTTCCGCAACATTTTCAAAGATTGTTTTACTGTGATTCCATTAGAAACATAAAATTTCCGGCAAACTTTTTAATCAAATTTTTTCCCAGGGAAAAATCGCCAGACAAACTTTTCGCGTCGTAAACAAACAGACACTAACTAACATATGGTGATCAAACTTCATACGAGCATGAAAAAAACTTATAAAAATCCAAGAATATTTATTCTATCATTTGGATTTGCGGGTGCAGTTTAAATACACCAGACCTTTGATCTGTTCGTATATTGTATATTCATATAATAATGTCATTGGTGTTTTGTGTGTTGTGTTTACATCCTGTATACTAAGTCATCTTTAGAATTGCTACTTAGAATTTATAGAGGCTAACTTAAGTTTATAATTTCACTCAACTCTCGAGTAGGAATTGAAATGTACTTCCAAATATCTTTGATAATTTCTTCATTCAATTAGCATAAAGTTTCAGACAAATTATATAGCCCTACTGTCATAAATTTATGCCATCGGTGGAACAATTGAGAATATAATACAAAAAACCCATTAGCAAGTAACTTTCCGACGGCTACAATCAATATATAATACTTGTATAAGGAAACCCCGCTAAGCACCCCTATCGATTGTGTGAAAATGGATGAAATCGGCCCACTCCCCATAAAACGGTTTTGTTAAAAACTACTCAAACCACGATAAATAAATAAATAAATACGCCGGAGACATTAGACAAAGAGCGTGGTAGCGCCGACTTTAAGTGAAATCACATATCTCAGGACTTATTCGACCAAATTCGGTAGTTAACATCACCCTGCTATTCCTATATCCTGTCCTGTGCGGAATTGTGCGATATCGAACTGTAACTGCAATTCCTACAGCGAACATGTTATCGAAAATATCGCTCAATCTATGATATATGTATGTATTGAAATTCAGAGCGAATCATTTTCTGGTAAGAGTATGTCTGTATGTCGAAAATGAGTTGAATCTGATTAAGACTTCTCTTAGCCAACATATACCTTATTTAAAAATTTTCGAACTTCCGGCTGACTTTATACCGAATATATCCGGAAATATGTGAGTTATTTCGGTAAAAATTTCACTAATAGTAATATATATTTGTGCCTAAAATGTATAAATGAGGTACCTTTTAATGAAAAATTATTAGTATGGGGCATGTTAATGGTATGTGGTATACGAGTAGCAAAAAATCACTACCTCGCATATGCGTAATATAAGATTTTCAAACTTTTCCGCAAAACATTCCTTAGAACTTAGTATTGAATTTTAAAAGACACTCAACTATGTGTGCTCTTACATAAAAATAAATTGAATTTCTTTATATTTTACAAAATTTTAATAGTTTTATTTTTCAAAATTTTTTTAAATTTGTAATCATATTTTTCTTTATAGACAATTATAAATTTAAAAAATACTTAAAATTTAATTTTTCACTTAACGACTTAGCTACTCTTACAAAAGTTGTTGTTTTTTTTAGTTTTGCTTAACAATACTAAATATAATACTATTTTTTTAAGTATAGACCTACTTCGCAAGTTATTTAATTTGATTCGGTTTAACTTTTTTACATATACAATATCACAGCGCAAAAGCAAATGCAAATGAGCACTTGACTGAATGAAGTTTATCTTTTATTTTAGTTTTTTTTTTTAATATTATTCTTTGTGTCTTGTTTTGATTTTTTGCTCTTTCTTATTGCAATAATAAATAGATGTATGTATGTATGTATAAATATTAATTGAATGTTTACACTCAATGATATACATTAAGAAATGCAAGTCATTTACACATTTTGTTTTCAGATATTTGTGGCTTAGGTGCTAATTGTACACACTGACATAGAGTTAAGATAATAAATTAATAAATAGAGAGTGAGATAGTATTTAGAGAAAGAGAGCTTGTGAGAGTTTCTGTGTGTAGTCTTTCATAAACAGTTTTTCATTTGAATTCGAAATGTATTGAGTAATCGTGAGTATGCTTTTGGGTATGGAAGTATTTATTATATTATATGATAAGCTTACGAGCAGAGACCGCGTATCGAGGAAGGTGGAGGCGTAATTTTATTATTTTATTTTTTGTAAAGCTTAAACAAGAATATGAAAAAGTTACGCGCACATTTTTATACAGGGTGCTCAAAATTTTATTTTATAAAAAAAAATTATAAAAATTTTACATGCACTTCAAAATTTGCCATTTCAAAAAAAATTTCCATAACTTTTATATAAATACCCACTTTACATTATTTTGATAACTGCACATTCTTGCTTTTCAATCGATAATTTTGTAATTGAAATTAATTGTCCGGCATTTGACTCATTAAAAGCAGTTATTACTTTTGCGCCGCTGCTAGCGCTGTTTTTATCTCGCATATGGGTGCTCACATGCCGCGCCTCTGCTCACGTGCTTATAAAGCTTCTTAAGCTTATACATGTATGTATATGTGTGATTATGAATTTGTGTTTAATGCATGCATTTTCTGTTATAAACAAGCGTTTATAATAAAAATAATAAAGTGTGAAAAAAATAGGAACCAGTCAAGCAGCTTGCGCCACTTGAATGTTAATATAGCTAGTCTATATGTACATATCTATGTACTTGTATGTATATTGAATATAATAAGAGCTTATTTATGCATGTTAGGTTGTATTTATGTAGATTTGTATGTGTATGCCTGGTGCTGCTGTTGATTGTGATTGTGGGTGTGTGCTCAGTTATCAAAGTAATTGAGACGGTTTGATGTGTTGACTAGAATGCTACAACTATCAATTTGTGTTTGTTTACTTTTCCATTGTTGTTGTTGTTGTTGTGCATATGAAACCGAAAGTGAAAAATGAAAATGAAAATTGAAGGCAAGCAGCAGCGCATTTGAAAAATAATTTAATGGAAATTGTTTTTTGATTTTTCATGTTGTTTTTGTTGTGCTGTACATTGAACTTGAACTTGCGCAATTGTAAAAACAAACGCACGTTGCACTGCGCGTTTTAGATGAAACGGAATGTTGTATAATAAATAAATATGCTTGTATGTTTGTATGTAACTGGCGAGATTGCTGCTTATATTACGTTGTTGTTGTCGTTATTGACTTAATTTCGCATGCAAATAATTTAAAATTAAATATAAAATTGTTTTCGTAGTGTATTGCTGCAATACTATACTCTTAATACTTGTTTGGCATCGCTTAATTAAATGCGTTCAAAAAATATTTTTGAAATTTTTTTGTTGTAGATTTGTGTTATTAACATTACTGGAATGCAGTCACTGTGCGCTAAAGAAGTAGCTAAATTCTTATACACGTTTTTTGTTTTAATACTAATAAACTCAATAATATAATATAGCTATGTATATTTGGAAGGCAATGCTTGGACCTGGCATGTTTATACGTATGTATGTATCGTATGTATGCATTTAAGCAACACATATCTAGTATGTAAAGCGAAAATTTGTTGAGACTCAAAATGCCAATTTCATATATGCAACTATGTACAATGACATATAGATGAAATTTAAAATCTGCCTTTCAAGCACACGCTGGCTCACCGCGTGTTGCGCGCATGCACTAAACGTCTTCTACTACCAACCCTTCTACCATGCGAACTTTTCCGCCTATTCGCAGCGCTTCTGCTGCTACCACTGTCACTAGGTGCCGTCACCGCTGCAGACATTTTAAGTGGCGTCAAATGACTTTTGACACGCTTGTTTTTGCTAATGCTGCCAAAATGCTTTGCCACCTCATTGAACGCCTTTGGATTGGCCATCAAAGCAATTTGACCGCGTCGCTTTGTTTGTTGGCGCAACACCTTCCACATGGTCTTCAAAAATTCGTAGTAATAATATTTGACCCACATTAAATCGATCGTATTAGCCTCCTGCACAATATGCGGATTGCTTTCGGCACGTCGCTTCGTGTAGAGCTTTAAGCGCTTATTCATTTGTTCGCTTGTCACTTGCGGTAGCGTGCTGCCGCGCAACATACGCGGCGCGGGCATTGTGCCATTGATGGCCGTCTCCAGTTCGCACAACATGTTGCGTGCGCTAATAAATAAACGTCGCAGTTCGCGACCTGTACTATTTTCACGTTGCAATTTAGCCATATCCCAGGCGCGTTGTATGCTGCGTAAATAGGCGAATGAGCCCACAAATGATTGCATATTACGGTACCAGCGTTTTAGTGCGATCTGCAATGGAAGTTTAAGGAAATATTTTTAGTTAAAATAAATTATATTTAGAATTTTATTTTTTTACACTTTTCTGTGAGAATTTAAAATATAATACATCGACATACATACAAGTATTTATGTACCATATATACCAACTGATAAAATTTTATACGTGAACTTGTTACTCAGTTTTGGAGATATCAATTTGAAATTTAACACACGCTTTTTTCTCACTAATAAGCGGCTCACTTGTAGAAACTGCCGATATCGGACTACTATAGCATATAGCTGCCATACCAACTGTACGATCGAATTCAAGTTCTTCTTCAGACGCGATAACTATATATTTTATATAACATATAAAAAATGTATGGAAAATTTGGATTAATCGTTGACATGCTTTTATTGCCTCAAAAGAAGCTGATTTCGGTGGCAATAATAAAGAATGTATCGAAATATGTACACGAAAATATTGTTCATATTGTGAGTCCGGGTAAATTTTGATCCATATAATATTTTAATTTACGGTAAGCAATTAAACAATACAATTTTATCGCGCGCACTATTAAACAGTCTATATTTGCAACCTGTTCACTACAACAGCTTTCATGTTCACACATATGTACCTATCTATATACATATATGCATGGGCATGTGCGCAAAAACAACCGTGACCTACCGCAACTTAAATGAGAGAGTATACGAACACAGCGTGTGCTATAAAACAGCTGTTATCGCGCTACGAAGCACAGCGGAGCGTATAAACGCTCAGCGCCCACAACCGCACGCTCTCCAGTTGTGGCGTCATCGCTTCCTCTTTTATAAATTGGACGCTAATAAACGCGTTAGCGCGTCGGACAAGCGTTTAAGCTTTCAATTAAAGATTTATACATTTTTGTATTCACATATATGTATTTGTACATATGTATATAATGTATGTACCATATATGCCTAGACACATTAATAGTTTTGTTTTTGTTCAAATGCGTTATTTATTTATAGCTGTAAAATGATAATTAAAATGCGCGCTCATTGACACCTTTTTTTTAACGAATAATTAATATGCACCTATTTGTGCATGTATGTATGTATGTGCTTGCTTTGCTATATACGGTAATGTCATACGTGATGTTGATAAGTTGCCAAAGCCAAACAGCTCGCTTTTATTCAAAAGCGCTTTGCTGTTGGCGTGAGAATTATCGTTATTTAAGACTATTATTAATATTATCGCACGCTATAATTTGTAGCACCTGACCACAATAATTACAGGCGTTTGATTGAACGGGTTTTTTCAAAAAATATTAAACCAAAAATACAGTTGTTTGCAATAAATTTTTATGATTACCAATAAAATAACAAAATTAATAACTTATTGCAATCATAAATATTTACACAATTAATTTGTATAATATTAGCCCTAATTTCATGCACACCAGCTGTAGTTTAGCATACTAATATTTTTTTTTTTTATTTAATCTATTTCTCAGTTATTCATTTTCTTGTCGCTCTTCGCCACTTGCAACCACCCCATTTCAGTTTTTTGTTGTTGTGTTTTTCTTTTTTTTTCAATATTCTTTCACTTTCTTATTTTATTCGCTTAAGTCATTGATTTGCGGACACTTGTTGTTTCTCCAACAGACATACATACATACAATATGAGATTTCGCCACGATGCAAGATAGCCAACGCACGTCGGCTACATTATGAATCATTGCAAATAAAATGTCAAACAACAACAACAGCAGAATCGACACAGACAACACAAGCAAACAATTTCAAATCGCGTTTGGTTTTAACATTTGCTTTTTCATTAGACGCGTCTAAAACTTTCTGTGAATGTACATACATGTATATGTTTGCCTCTCCCTCATTCGGTACAATTTGTGATGTCATAATGACTATTTTTCAATATTAATGAGCAATGGGTCGCAAAACGAATTCAATTTAGACTGCGTATAACAGTGGCGTAGTACAGTTAGGAATTGGAGCACTTTCCATTCGTTAATTAATTACTGATTTTACCAAGTAAAACTGGAGATATATCTTTCTTTTGTAACTCTTAGCACACTTTTGCTTAAATTGAAATGAACTTTGCATAGAAACGACAAGAAAAAGCAAATAGACAAAAATAAATAAATAACGGTGAAATTGCTTTTAATGAAATTTGTTCATATTTAAGCAATTTTAAAAGATTTTTGTTAACATTCAAGCATTTTTTTTAAATTTTCACAGGCAAAATTTTATCATGCTTTCATCCCCACTTTCACAAAAGCTTGCCTGCGCAACTGTCACATGCAAGTCATGCGATATTGCGATTGATAGCAACACGCGATCGCTTGGCATCGATCACACGCTTTAGCGCATGCGCACATATGTACATACATACAAACGTATACACCTTACCCATATATTTACGGAAGTTTTCTACTTAGCCAGCACTTGTGATAAGATAACATTCTCAAGCGATGAATGAAAATGACTAGACGCAATGATTATAATAATAATTATTGCCATTTATGACTTCACAAACTAACAAATACGTTAAGTGAAAGCAAAACAATTAGTTGATGTGCATGTAAATATACATATACATGGTATATGAATAACTTTTTGCACTAAAAAAAAATATTCTTCTTCTTTCTTATTGTTTTTCAGTCAGTTTTCATTTTTATGTTCAAACAAAAGTTCGTATTTATTGCAAAAACAACTGCATAACGCATTCTTTGCGTATTACAAATGTTAAATACACTACTTAAGTGCTACTAACGCGTACCTTTAAAGTGACTCACTGGCAACAGTTTATTACTAATATGTCTATTAGAAATGCCTTTGTCGCCAGACATGACGACAAGCTGCCACTTTACATACATTCATATAATATATAATATATCTACCTATATGGTATATATACATATCATCTAACTTGGTTGGGTTAAATATGAGATCTTTGCCAGCGAAGTGGAACCGTATCAGAATTGTGTTTGTATACATATATACAAACATACATGTGTATATGGTATTTTAGAAAATAGCGTACGACTAGTTGCATCAATTTCACACGATACTAAATACAAAACATTTGTATCGGAAATACCTAAAGGTGCGCACATATTCGGTATTAGAATATACCATATATTATATATTTAGTTTTTTAAGTTTTGGAGAGTCACGAAAACCTACATACATACTAATAAATATCAAAAAAATGTTAACTTCAACTGCACCGAAGCTATACTACCCTTCATAGGAGCATTTCTTATAGCAAACGTGGTTATAAAACGATCCCTATCTTTACTTTAATCGGTCAATTTGCATGAAAGCTATATGCTATAGTGAGCCGATCTGAACAATATTATCGGACATTTTAACGTTGCCTGGTACAATAATCTATGTAAAATTCCGTGAATACATTTTATCAAATAAAAAAGTTTTCCATACAAAGCCTTGATTTTGATCGTACAGTTTATATGCTATAATAGTCCGATTCGAACAGTATTTCCGGAGATTATAGCCTAGTATTGTATAATAATCTATCCAATTCTTAAACACTGAAAATTGATTTCAAAAGCTTTCGAGTTTAAAAATGCTTTAATTGTGGAAATTTGGCTATATCTAAGTATGTGTAGACACATAAACTGCTAAGATTACTGCTTTAATTATACAGCTATTAAAGTATTTTTATATTTTTTTCCGCTTTGCGTTTGGCTTTTCAACGTATTTGCATACGATATAATGAGCAACAAAATGACGTGCAGTTTTTGAATGATTTTGTTCTTTTTGTTGGCTATTTTTCACGCAGATATTTCCGTTTACTATTAGCAACACAGCAGCGGAAATACCAGACTAATTTTTGTACGCTAATGAAATATGTAATGTATGTATGTGTGTAGATAGATATGCGTGTATGCATTGAGAAGCTTTACAGAACTAAATAATATTGTGCAGAATTGCAATAAGGACTATGTACATGTAGATAAGTATGCAACATACCGTTGAGTTGAGCTTCAATTTTGGCAGAAATTTATAAGTCTTATTGTGCAGCGACCAAATATGTATATTGCTTATATCAATATCTTGTTGACCGGCTTTCAACATCTTGTACTCATTGCCTGCCGACTTTTTAAGCATGTTGAAAATCTGAAAATATACGAAAAAGAAAAAAATATTAGTTATAGATATATATACTTAACATATTAATATATATACATATATTAAAAAAATATTTTCGAAAAATATTGCTTAAATTTTTAAAGTAATTATAAATATTTTTCTTGTCTTTTTTTCAAATTCTACTAATTTTTTGCTTCTTATGCTTGCAAATGAAAAGGTCTATTCTTTAAATTTTCATTTTATTTTATTTTCACTCAAACCCACCTGTTTTGTTGGGTTCTTCCGTCGCATGGCACTGCCACTCTGCGTCGCCGACGGCACATAGAAACCACCGCAAGGATTCACCCATGGCAGATCTTTTGACGTATCAATATTCCAATTACTGTGACGCTTGCTGTGTCGTTTCCGTTTCCGTGAACCCTCGTTACCTGTTTGCGCCATCGTATAGACTATACCGCTGCTCACATCTATCGTATTTTGCGTTAACGTCACACCCACCGCCTTGTTCTTTGCGCTTGTGCTGGCTTTTCTTGTTGCCGTCACTGTTTGTGTGTGTGTGGGTTGTGTATTATTGGCGGGGCTATTGGTGGTTGTTGTGGGCGCTGCTATGGCGCTTGTGAATATTGTTACTATGATCATTATGAAAATGAGATTGTCTGTACGGACGCGTTGGCTTCGTCTTTTACTTCGGCTGCCGCAATTTTTCTTCACGTACTTGGCTTTTTGTGTTGTTTTTGTTAATACGGTTACTTTTGTTATATTTGTGGGTGACCGCACGCTGAATGAAAGGCGTGGGTGCGTTTGGGTGTGTGTAAATTCGCTTTGGTTCGCCGTTTTGCTGGTTTTATTGGTTGCAAGAGATTTGCAACCACCTGAGTTGATGAAGATGCAGAGAAATTATTATTATTATTATTGCATAGAGATAATTGAAAAATGTATAGCCAAACTAAATAATAAATCAATTTGAATTATAAGAAATAATATTTGTTACAAAAATGTCCTCAAACGCCATAAATAATTTATGATTATTAGTAAATATTGTAACTAAAATAATTAACTTTCAAATTACGATATTCTTAATTTAAAAAAAAATGCAAAAATCGTTTCTAATAAACACGTATCAGTAATTTAGCGGAAGTTAATGCTTTTTTACTATTATTTTGAAAAATAAAAAAAAATGCCGTAATTAAATTCATGCTTACCTACTTTATGTTTCGAGTATCAAAATCGGTTTATAAATACTCTTTAGCAGAAAAATATTACAAATATAATTTCAATCGCTTCTACGCGATCAAAAATTCTAATACTCAATATACTTGTAATCGCCTAATTAGTAAACTATATTAAAATGTATCACCAACAAAAAGGTAAAATCCAAATTACAATAAAAGAGAAAAAAAATTAAATTTGTACCAAAGCAACAATGCCTTTCACAAGTGCATTTCTCATAGCAATTAAATGCATAATTAAATCCGAAATAGTAACTGACTAACGGTTTGCATCCAACGGAAAACGCTTTACTATTATTTAGTAAAGTACTATCTTGTTAAATAAAAAAAACTTTTCCAAACTAGAATTAGATTTTGATAGAGCAGTTTATATGGCAGCTATATGCTATAGTGATCCGATCTGAACAGGATATTCGTAGATTATAGCGTTGTCTTGGACAATAATATATAGCAAATTTCGTGAAGATATATGGTCAAATCAGAAAACTTGCCATACAAGAACTTGATTTAAACGTTCAATTTGTATGGCAGCTATACGCTATAGTAGGCCGACATTGACGGCACAAAATTTCAGATCGTTATCTCAAAACCTGTGAAATAATATACAGACAGACGGCGTTGAAGGTATAAAATTAAAACTTTCAAGCTAACAGATTTTAAAAGCTAAATATATGTATAAAGGCAGTATTGCTCATAATATATTATATTCAAATTTTATTTTAGAAAAAGGCAATAGTGGAACTCTTTATATATTTAATTTAATTTAAAATTCTTTTAAAATTGGTAATAGGATTTCTAATTTTGTATACATTCGGAGTTTTTGATTATAGAATTGTATAAAAGTATAAAGAAAATGGTTTGGTTTCTTCAACTTTGGTTTCTTAATCTTGACAATATTACAAATAATTTTTCGAAAGCAGTCCTATATATTTCTAAAGAAAGGATGCATATCTATTTTTCTTCATGCATGATCTAAATCTGAGTCGCAGGACATTTTTGTACTATGCGGGTGTAAATTTTCATACTCGTACGTAAATGGTTCATTAATTAAAAAGTACTGTTTGTTTCATAAAAATAATTTTTAGCACAATTTATTGAAATTAAAATTTTTTTTATTAACACATTTTGCTATTTTTTTTTTTTAATAATAATATTATTCGAATTTTAAAAAACTTTTTTAAGTAAATTATTTTTATTTTTATTTATTTATGTAACTTTAATTAAGTTTATAGAAATATATTATATAGAAAATAAAAATTTTATGATTATTAATTTCTTTTTATTTATTTATGTGATTTTAATTTAGTTTAGTAATTCCATAAATTATATTTAAAATTAAATTAAATTACTTTTTATTTAAAATATAATTTTTATTTTATAGTTATTTTAATTTATATATTATTTCTTATATATATTATATTATTATTTATTTTATTTTTTATCCCAGTATCTAATTGTTAATTCAAATAACTATTTTCAATTAGACTGCTTCCATTACTTTCTTCAGATTTGTACTTTTAACACACATTCAGCTATCTATTTACTTTAACGTAAAATTTTTTTAATAAACTCATTGAAAAACAACACAAACTGATAGATAATTTCTTGTCATGCTCATAACTTATTCATACATATGTACGTACATAGCTACAACCCAACTTATCAATGAATAATAGCTTGAACACTTCAATTTTGTATGAATGCACTTCCTATGAGCTGATAAGCTAAATATGCTCATAGCCAAAAATAAACTACATTCGAAGTAAATAAAGATATAAATAACTTTGCTTAGACGATTAACTAAATAACGTTATGCAAAAAAAAAAAACTTAAATTAACAACAAATCAAAAGCAATACACACACCGCATACTAATCCAAGTAAATTCGAGTAAATTCTGCTTTGCTCATCCACGTGGGGTGTTTGGGTGGGCTGCGCTCGTTGGGTGCGCTATTAGCCAAATATCGGCGCGCGGCGTTCGATAAGTGACTAAGGCGATTGCTGTTTAAAGTGGCACGACACTTCACTTAAAGACACGTCGTCGCGCACAATTGCCGGTAATATTATTAAGTACGCGTATTTATACTTTCTATATATATATATGTATGTATGTAGGTTTGGGTTGTTAGTTTCTGCTTTGCTTTTGTTACAACAAATCTTTTAAATTAGCCAATTTCACAAGAATGTGCTAATTTCGCGAATCAAGCAAAGTATTGAGCGACGCTTTAAATTTTTTTTAATTTTGCACAACGACGGCAATTTTGTTATTGTCGTATTCGATTTGATGACTTTTTTTTCTTTCAACTTTATACAGTTACTTTCGCTCGCTCATTGACTTAACACTTTTTTATTATTTATTTATGCTTAATGAAGTAATTTTCTTTTTTATCAGTCTTCTCGTCATGTCATGCACACGCACAAAAATTTTAATTTTACTTAAATATTTAACGATACTAAAAAGCAATCGAAATCGAATCGAAACTTTGTCACTGCAGCTACAATTTGCTTTTATTGCTATTTATTATATGTATTATGGTAGACTCTCACGTCTACCGGTTGTCTACAGGTATGCAAATATATGTATTTTTGGAAAATAAAAATACTTTTCAAACTTTTTCAAGTGACTTCCGTTCAGTAGTACACACTTCCTTACAGCACAAACTGTTGAATCAGACTGATCAAACCTTAGCCATAAACGTCGACCGTAACTTTTCTTCGTCACACTGCCAATACCGACACAGCTACGACACTACTACTACTAATACCAATACCACTACCACTGTGGCAAAAATAACAATAACACCAGCAAAAGCAACGACATCGGCAACAACAACGGCTATGATTACGCTAACTATTATATGTACGTATGTATGTATGTATACCTATGTGATATGTGCCTTTACCGACCAAGCCAGCAGGCCGGGCAACACCAGACCAGACAGCCGACTATTGCTGATGACTAACGTACATACATACATACATTCATACATTACGCGATCGCTCATAAAAAAAAGCAACAACGACACAGCTACGCGTACCTCACCGAATGTAGGTATGTCTGTCTATACGCCTCCGGTAGGTGTGTATGCATGTGTTTGTTATTACGGTTCTTCTGTCCATTGTTATTTCCTCACCTAATCCAATGATCTCATTTGTGCTCAATTTACCCAAACCCATAGCAATGCAATCCGCTCAGCAAATATACTAGCATACATATGTACACAAACGAACACACGTATTTGGGCCAACTGGCCGTAGCGTCCACTGAGTGAGTAACGTTCACTGAGCATTCATTCGCTTTTCCACTCACTTATCAGTGTGCGTGCTTAGGGTAAGGTTAGAGCGGGAGGCAAATCGAAAATGCAGATGGCAAGTGAAGACAATCCCAAACAAATTTATATACATACATACGTTTATGTATATAATTCGGCACTCATGCTATTTTATGTTAGTGGTTCTTTAGCGCGCACGCTTTCTCTCTTTCCTCCGCACCAATAAGAATGGTATACGCGTGCATAACTGCCTGCTGGCCTTGTCTGTTGGTAGTTTGTCTCTCATTCGTCCGATAATTTTATATACCTGTGAATAGATTATTAATGATTTTCGGTAGTGAGAGTGTGGGTGTGCGCGATACGATGATTATGCTTTTTAGAAGATGAGCACCACGCATGCACATACATATGTACATCTTTACATAAATATCAAAATTTGTATGTAATTAAGTTGCTTCTATGTATGTACGAGTATATAGTTATTTATAATATACATATGGAACTTTGAAATTTTCATATACATTTTTTTTTACGAAAACTCAATGCAAAACTATAACGTTCTACCAGGCTTGTTAATAAAGCATTAGCATTAAAAATAATTGTCTTACCATATTAATAAAAAAAATTAAATTTTGTAATGCCAAAATTTAATTTAAAATTTCTAATCGCAAATACCGTATTGAAAAATTAAAAAAAAAATCTAAAAAACACAATTTCTTAACTACAAAGAAATTAATAAAAATATATTGTTTTCAAATTATACGAAGTTTGTGTATAATTTAAAAACAATATATTTCAAATTTATAAATGAAAATTGTAATCCCTAACACCGGATTGAAAAAAAAAGTTAATAATTAATTAATAATTTAAAAAATTGAGTTTTTGAAATTTAAATTACTACGCGCTTGCGTACTTCGTGTTTTACCATTTTGCCGAACTTTGTAAACGGATAATTAGTTAACACTATTTGTTTTATTTACATTAATTATTATTTTCCAGCACACTGCAATTTCCTTCAATTCACAACATGTTTTCTCTCTCTCTTCTTATAACGAATTCGCTTATAATTTCTCTTACTATGAATTTTTTCTACTCCCACAACTCGAATTTTGATGCGTTCCAAATATCTCTATACATTACTTTTTTTCGATTTTTTTTCTTGCCAAACCAAATGCAAGTATGTATTTAGGGGAAGTCCCGAATTCAAAGCTTGATGATATCAATAAACAAAATGTTATCACTACTACTGTCATGGCGGCTTGTCATATGACAGATAAGATGGCTTTTGAATGGTTGTACATACATAGTAATCGCGTGCCATTGATACATTTTAAACTATTTCGAGATTTCCGGTACAAATTCGGTAATTAATCGCCTCTCTTTATACAGTTTGGATATTTTGGCGTGTTAAAAGTTAATAGTATAAATTAAACACTATTAAAAAATATTTCTATCATGAATTTAGTCGAAAATTTGACAATGACTGCTGTGGGTGATTACCGTTTGCTGAGATTCAGCGTTTGTGAAAACTTAATATTATTTAGTAAAATATTTAGTTTTGTTAGCAATATTTTCTTAAATGGCGATCTCTGCTAAATTTTATAGATACTTTTTTTAAATATTGAATAAATTAGAAATGTGTAAGTAACTTTGTTTATGCTACATTTAAATTTCGTATGCATTTTTTTAACTAAAATACTTCAGGGCAGCCATTTGCCAATCACAAAACAATTGCGCATGCGTCGAAGAATATGTTAGCGCATTGTTGCATCGCAAGGGCTACCAGTCTATTGAAAAAAAAAACGAGAATAGTCTGTTCGATTCGCCACTCTGTAACGCTTGGCGATTCAAGGACATGCAGCGTTAATCTCAGAGAGCAACCGTAAATCCTTTATCTTGGCTTATTCTCATTCATCTTTATTTTAGATGATTTTTGTTGCACTAATAACACCGTGACGTTGCACATTATTAGAACAGGCATACAAATATAGTCGCTTACCTGTCTAAATATATTTGTGTATATATGTGTTCGTGTATATATGTATAGTTAAGTATGTATTTACACCCAATCAGTAAATTCACAAAGCAATACAATTGCAAATACAATAACCAACACCTCCAACTACTTAAAATTTGACAACTCAATTTCCTTTTATTATTCACATAGACATGTGTGTGTTTGTTGTTACATTTGTATATTTCTTCACTACTAACAACACGTTTTATCACAACATTACAACTATTTTTATAGCAATTCTAATACGATATCATGTTTGTACATTTTCATGCCTCCTTGGGCACACAGTCACACCTCTGCACACACAGACACACACACAAATACTTCGAGAATTGAAATTTTGCTGAGGCGTTGTACATAAACATGCAAAATGTTAAAATTGCTTGTATGTATATGTATGCGCATAGGTGTATTTGTGTGATTTTTGGTTAGCCCTTAAAATCCGTGGCAGCAAAGAAAGCAAGAAGAAGGACAACTGCTGCTGACGTCCTGTGGCGTTAGCGTACTTTTTGTATACCGACAGCAGCAGCAGGAGCTCATCAATGCAATTATCAATGTTTTTGTTGTTGTTGCAGTGTGTGTGTGTTTGCGTGACAATGGCACTGGCTTGGTTACAAATGTGGTTTATGCTGTTGTTGTTATTGTTGTAGATGCTGCTGTTGCGCCGTTCAGCTGCGAAATAGCCAAACTAGCTCCATTTGACTGCCCGTTTGTCTGTTTAAAATTTAATTTTCGTTGTTGTTGTTGTTGCTCTGTGCGTCTTTAATTGCTTTTTCTTTTCCCTAAGGAAGATGCCAAACTTATTTTCACTTATTGTTAGACCATTATCTGCGTATTGTTGTTGTAAACATTTTTATTAGACCCTGGCTACCTTTGACTATAAATAAAGTTGTACCCATACATATGGATATGTACCCATGTAATTGCAATGAATAACTGATATTCGTAGATTGCGATCTCAGATATCGTGCACTGATGGTGGCACTTTGGCGGTGGAGATCAAGCAATACGCCCCACTGTTCAGTGTTTTATGGCCAAAATGGCTCACATGATGGTCGATAGTGTTCGTAGATGCTTGCAAGCAGCTTTCTGTTGTGTGGATGTGTGCGTGTATGTAGTTGTAGGAGTGGTAGTGTCGCCGTTTCGGTTATCGCAATTGTGAAGAAATAATTGCAGTTGAAGTGATTTTGAGAAATTGCAATAATATTTCATGATTTTTGACATTTCGAAAGGAAATGACTGAAAAAATGCCGAATTCTAAAGGACAACCGACATACAGGACATACAAATATATATATGTCTATATAAATTGATATATGCTTAAGAATAATGTGCTAAATTTTCTTATAAAAAATGTTGCATGTGCATTCTACATGAATTACTGGCAGTACTTTTGAATCAGTAGCCATAATTTTAAATTAGTTCAAAATAAAAAAACAAAAAAAATGATCAAATTAGCGCATGCTTAGAATTTTGCAAACTTAGTTCCCTTAAAATATCTAAACATCCATACTTAACATGTTTTAAAGTCAAGCTGATTAACAGAAATTAGTACAGTTATATAAATGTTATAGTAATGGCATAAAATTCATGGAAGTCATTATATTCGGTATATAGAGGATAGTGCAATTTTTACAACAAAACCAATTTACACATATAAGAAAACACACCCACCTATCATCGTTACAAAACCTCCAGCTTCGGCTAACAATCACTGCGAGAAAAGTAGTTTGTAAGCTATGTATTTGAAATCTACTAGAGATTGGGACCATTCCCGAGTACACTTTTCAAAAAAATTGTAAACCACAGTTGCCGCCTTCAACTCTGATCTTCTGCAAGAAATGCAAGTTTTTATGTCTTGTATACGAAGTTTGTAAAATCCAAAAGAAAACTACGAAAACCCTTTAAAAATATGTGTAAAAAATTATCAACGTGCGTTCGTGTGTTTGTATATCCGGGCACTAGTCCCTCAGTTTTTGAGATATCGATCTGATATTTGGCACACGTCCCTTTCTTCTCAATAAACTGCTCATTCATCGGTACCGCCGATATCGGACCACTATCGTATTTAGCATATAGCCGCCATATAAACTGATTGAAAAAAATCAAGTTCTTGTATGGAAAACTTTTATATTTGACAATATATCTTCACGAAATTTAGCAAAGAATATTTTTCTAGGTAAAGCTATAACCTCCGTATATATTATTTGGGTCGAAACCATATAGCATATAGATTACATACAAACTGTTAGATCAATATCTAGGCCATATAGCATGAAATGCGCCTGTGAAGGGCAGCCGAAGTTAATATTTTTTTAAGTTTTTAATTTAATTTTTGTTGAGTTATAAAATTCTATATAATATATCGAATAACCTCAATTTGTGGCTTTTGTGCCATGCCAACCTCCTCAGAAGATCAATATGTACATATGTAGTAGGGTGGAGCGAAAAAAACATTTTATTTCGTATACAGTTTTAGATTAGTGTTCTAGAAGCTGTGGAGAGTCCTCTTTCTGGCCAATTAATAGTTATCAACTTAAAAAATTGCTTGTGGTCATTATTAGAGTTTTAAAAAAACGTCTTGCATGCAGTTAAAATAAATTTTAAGTCAAATTCGGCAATTTTTATATAAATA